CCTCTGCATATCCCTCTAGGACTGTTTTTAAATACGTGCCTATCTGGCCCTGTGGTCCTTAAAAAAAAAAAAAAAAAAAAACACCTATTATGAAGCAATGTTAGTAATGCACCAGAAACAAATTTTTACTGTGTTACTTACTCCTAAGTGGTTTGGAACATGTATCAGTGGTCATGTATCCACAGGTAAGAGTTTGAATTCTGGTTTAGCCCCTTCCTTATACAAATTGTTTAATCTAGTAGAGGCCCAATGTCCTGATCTACAAAAGAGGGATTGAAATGCTTATCTCCTTGAGCTGTCCTAAGGTTTAAGTCAGATGATGCTTAACGACAGATGAGTAGATAAGAAGATGTGGTGTATATATACACAATAGAATACTACTCAGCTATAAAGAAGGTGAACTCTTGCCCTTTGTGACAACAACATGGATGGACCTGGAGGGGATTATGCTGAGCAAAATAAGTTATAAAGAGAAAGACAAATACCAGATGACTTCACTCATATGTGGGATATAAAGAAACAAAGTAAAGGAACAGACAAAACCAATCAGAACAAACCCTTGGAATCTGACTGTAGAAGTGAGGCTACCAGAGTTGGTACAAGAGACAGGGTCTCAATGGACTATGGTGGAGGACTATGAGTCCTTTGATGACAGATGTGATGTGGTAACTTATATCACAAGAGGTGTGACTTACACCCCTGCATAATATAAAGTGTTGTAAATCAGTGTTACTTAATACACTAACATTTTTTAATATAAAAAATTTAAATGTCATATTAGTTCAATTTTTTTTAAGTAAAATGCCTTTAAATTTATTTGATTTTTAGTGGGGTAAACTTTTTTCCCCATTCCAGATTCTAAATGGAATGTAATCCACACACAGAAACAATTGTAGCCAGAAAGCTTCCAAATTCAGAATTTTCAGATTCTTCACACCCTATCCTTATTAGGAAGCAAGAGAGTGGCTCTTTTCTTCCACTCACAGATGGAATTAATTCTTTGTTTTTCCTCTGTATTTCACTGTCTACACACATATTTGGCCAGATACTGAGGAGGAGTGTGAAAAGGCAACATCAGAGCAGATCTGTGCTGAGGGGCATGTATGCCTCCCTGGGACACAAAAATTTTTCCTCTTCATGATTATAAAAGTTATTCTTTCTGAGAAAGAAATATGATTGGATATTTTCTAAAAGATTTGACTTGCATGGTTGTTCTGGCACTGGAAAAGAAATCAGTAACTCCAAAATAAAATATAAATGTTCTCAAAGTCATCGCCTGAAATTTTAAATATTTTGTATTTATGAGGACTTTTGGAAATGATTCCAGTTCACCATTGTGTACTGGATGTTATTCTCCTATATTTGATACCAATTAAGCAAGAGTTGTGATAAAAATGACACTGCATGTATAGCACAGTAATGAATACCCTTAAATGCTGAGAAGGGACATTTAGAAGTTGAAGGGTTGGAGTATTAGAATGATCAGGGCGATCTCTGAGGAGGAGGCATGGAGTACAAGAAGACAGTCATTGGGAAGAGGATACATTTTTCCTCCAATTTAGGGATAATTAGGGTTAATTAGGTTCCCAGAAGGCTGGCAGCCTGACTTAGTCTCAGACTAGACACCAGAAGAGCATTTTCTGACTCATCTGCCACCCCAATAAAAGACAGATGTGTAGATACTGAAATTGCTGACCCACAGACCCTAAAGCCCACCCAGCAACCCCCTTACCCCCATCCCAAGCCTCACAGGGACTTTTTAATATCCTGTTCTTAACTATATGCTGACAGCCCAGGATTCACTGAAAACACTTGAAGAAAGTCTCTAACCTGAAACCTAGAGACCCAAACAAAGAAATACCAAAAATAAATAAATAAATAAATAAATAATAAAAAGGGAATTTGTAGAAAACAGGTAACGTAGGGAGACGTACTTAGGAGAAAAATAGCTATCTCAAAAAGAAAGGACCATTATTGTGGCTACAAAATAAGAACAGGTTATTTTTATAGGTAATATTCATAAAACAAAAAAGAGAGCTTAGAAATCGAAAAAATAAAGTACTGAAAGTTAAAAAAAAAAGAATTGCTAGATACCCAAAAAAAAGTTTACATGAAAAATGCTTACCTTATGGCATAACTGTGAATAAAATTTTGGTCACTTTGATGTAACAGGTATTATAATATGAATATTTTAAGAGGATGGGGGAACTAGGTTTGTGTGTGTGTGTGTGTGTTTTCCAGAAGGAGATAAGAACTGAATCCTCATCTTCCAAAGCAGGAAGCCAAGACTTAATATCTAAAAAATTGAGATGTAGTCATGTAAAATGTGGTGATAAATAACCAAGAAACTTGTAAACAGGCTCAAAAGAGTTGTCTCTGTGTAGTGGGAACGATTTGTTTGTTTGGGCCTAGTTGCTGACAATCTTCCTTTGATAAACTCAGTATGGATAATTAATGTTTTAAACCATGTACATATAATTTCTATTTGGAAATTAAATGTCCTAAAAGGCTAAATAAGTACAGCAGTTGGTACTGTGTTTGGCACATAGTAAACATTTTATACAACTTCATCAGTTCTGTATTTTATGATTCATACTATTTTAACACTTTGAGTGTTTTTTATAATACTCCAGGATGCCTTTTGTTTTTCAAAACTCTTTAAAGTAGCAAAGATATTTATTGGAAAAATTTAAAATCATGCTTTCCAGTGAGACTTAAGGTGGTATCCTGCACTCTTTGCAACCAAGCCATCTTCACCTCCCCGGCCCCTCACCAATGAACCCAAGTCAAGGACGTGTTTGCTTCCATTTGCTTAGCCAGAGTCCAGAAAGAGAAGCATCTGGGTAGGGAAGGGAGGAAAGCAGCCGGTCTTATTCATATGGATCTAATGTACCAGCTGGAGTTTCTAAATTGACAGATGAGGCAACAAAGATAAGGGACCACAGCGTTCAGCATCGGTCAGGTAGAGTTGGCAATTTGAATGCTTTATGCACATACACTTAATTTGCTTCCCTCATCCTTCTAAAAGGCAACTCATTAACACCTCAATGCTGATGGCTCACATTCTAGACTCTAACTGAATGCACATTAGCATAATGAAATGTGTACTGTGGTTGCTTCGTGGAAAAGCTGCCCTATTTATTCAGCTACCCTGGAGAAAAGAGAGATTTTTCTTGCAGTGGCTGCTATTAAATACCTTAGAGCCTTAACATTTCAAATGCTGCTCATTGATGCCCCCTTGTAACATTACATGCCCCATTCATATGATAATGAAACTTTACATAATGTTGGAAGGACAGATATGATTATTGTTCTCAACTGGCAAATGAAAAGATTGAAGTACAGAGATGATCTGCTAGTCACAGAGCTCAATAAGGAAAATCAGGAAATCCTACCTTGATTCCAAATCTGAAATTCTCTTCAACACAGAACAGTTCTATTGCATTTGTTCAGTTCCACATAGATCTAACTCAGCAATTTGAACCAGCAGACAGGAACATAAAACAAATATTACATATTGAGATCCCATAAAGAGGATATTAAGAATAAGGAAGAGAATATATGGCCCAAGGCCTGAGACAATTATAAAATACCCAGTAGAGTTGACTGATAGGCAGCCAATTCTCTGAAAGAGAATCTAGGTTGGGCACCAAAGATTCTTCTCTGAGAAGCCCTGGTATTGGGAAATTGCAGAGGGAAGAGCCACAAGAATCACCAGGCACAAACCAGGGGGTGCTGGGAGAGGAGAAAACAGACTTTGTCTTTCAGGAGTACATTTATCCAATGGTCACAGCTGATAAAGATTCTGCTGCAGAAGCCAGGCTCAACAGGAAAGAGAGCCACAATCAATTTCAGTGCCTGCAGAGGGCCCAGGAGGGTTTTGAAAGCTGTGGCTGTTTGTCATGCCAGGGCAAGAGTCTCTGTCAGACACTCCTTCTGGAATGACAGAGATGTCCTTCAAGCCAGGGAAGGCGTACAAGTCTTGTCAGCCAACAGGGGGTTATTGAACAACCACCCCACCGTGGTGTCACTCAGGCTTGAATATCCACCTGAATCAGCAATGGCCTCACAGAAATATACAGTGGAAACTCACCCCTATTATTGTTAATTAGGGAATGTGGAGTGGGGCCCAGAGGAAGTATTTTTTTAAAGATTTATTTATTTATGAATATAAGAGCTGGGGTACAGGCCAGAGGTGTGGGGGCGGGGGTGAAAGGATTCACCAGAGACAGAGTGGGGAATAGAACAGGTGGATTGACTAAAATACACTGCTGAGGGGAGCAGTGGGAGAGACAGGAGAGGTCTGCCATGCCATGTGTGTTTCTCTCTGGCTAGCCGGGGATCGATTTCATGCTGCAGAGGCTGTGGACAGCTTCATAGTGCGGTGCTTAACCCCCTGTGCCACCAAGGAGGCCCAGAGGAAGTATTTTTAAAAATGCTAAAGTTTATTTCCATGTTCATTAAAAACTGAGAAAAAACATATCACCTTTTGTGTGTCGTGCATAAGCATATGTGTGTATGTTATTACCTCCTTTTCACCCCACCAATGAAGGAGGGAGACACACCCTACATAACTCTGGACAGATGAGGTCCACAGCAGGTTATTAGCCATGTCCACTCAAGCCAGGACAGGAGGACAGGCCACCCTGCAACCCACACAGGAAGTGTGCTCAGGAGCTCAGCAAACCAGCAGGAGGGCCAGGTTTTACAATGAGGGGAAGGTGACCCTGGTTCTTGCTGGAAGATGTGACTGAATTGTTTGAATAATTCTGTGGGTTGTCAGGAAGCCCATAAGTGTGACTAAGAACCTTTTCTGCTCAAAGAGCAGTGGAACAACATTAGGTCTCCAGGGGCCTTGTGAGGCTCAAAGATTTCCAAGCAGCACACGAGATGTTAAGCCTTCCTACAAAGGCAGGGAGGGCCAGATAGCCACAGTGAACAGGCCAGAAATGGTAGTCAGGGATCAAGTGGGAATGAAGAGGAAGTAGACTGTTACTTACAGTGATAAACTCGAGGACGGATGAAACAGGCAGTCTTCGCTTCACCCATGAGTTGTTCGCTTCCTTGTTGAAAGCAGGAGAAAAGTCAGTGGAGTATCACAGCAAAAGTTTATTCAGAGCAAAGCAAAGCAAATCTTTATTTGAAGCAGAAGAAACAAAGCAAAGCTCCGGTAACTGGGAGGGGACTCAAAATTGAGTTGGCATCGGTGGGAATCAGGAAACTGCTTTATCTATTGGCTTTGTTGTTCTCTCTTCTGGGAAGGGGGTAGTTTGCCAAGGGCAGCTCCGGAGTTTTGTTTTTTTGCAGCTGCTGTTCACTGACCTTAGCACCTTGGACGTTGGCACCATCTTCTCTCTTAGGCCCTGCTTCCCTCTCTCCCTGCAGCTGTCTCCTGACATTGACCATTCCCTCATTTCCCAGCACTTGCACTTGCTTCTGTAGGACATGCAAGGGAGGCATGATCATTTGATTTCTATTTTTGAGGGGAGAGCCCAAGTGAAATAACATCTAGCCATGAGTGTGAGGGTGAAGGGGAACTGATCATATTCACATCCTCCTGACTCCAGGGCCCAAGGGCCTCTTTCCAGGACACCAGAATGCCTCTCCTTAAAGAGGACTTTCATTTATTAGCACAATGCTTCACACAGAAACTCAAAAAATATTTTTGGAATTACTTTTCTCTCCTAGAATATGTTTAAAGATATGTGATAAGGCTCACCCAAAGATAAGACATGCAATAGTCATGCTTGTAAGGAAATGGAAGGCTTGCTCTATCTTCCTCCCTCCTCCCCGCCTCAAGGTCATATTCCACTGGGGGGGAATGAACAAAATAACACGGAAAAAATGAATTTACTGACACATGCCCTGAAGGACATAAGGCACACTGAGAAAACCAGAAGAGAGAAAGAACTGTGTTGAATAGGGAGATAGGTAGACCCTTCTGGGGAGATACCATTTAAATTGAAACCAAAAGTATGAAAATGAACCCAGCATGTGAAGAGTAGCAGGACCTCTGTTGTAGGTAGAACTGATATGTACAAGGATTCTGAGGCAATAGAAGACTGGATTGTCTGGGATAGTGACTGACAAATCACATATGGGGTGTGGAAATCAAAGGAAGAACAGACAAGCAGCAGCAGCAGAGGCTAACAAAGACATGCAGAACAGGGCTAGGGGTTTGGGTTGTTTTCTGAAAGCATTGGTAAGGTTGATGGATTTCAAAGCAGAAGAATGCCATAGTATTTTATCTTCTAAGATGACTCTGGCTGACAATTGTGACTGACAGATTACAAGGGGAGGAGGACCAGAAGAGTAAGACGCACCCATTAAGGTCTTGATGGCAAGTGATAATGATTGGTGGCCCCTCCCAGGTGACAGTGGAGGTGGGAGCTCTGGATAGCCTTGAGATATAAGCATGTTTGGAGGTAAAATCATCAGGAATTGCTAACAGGTTGGATGGGATCTGCATAAGGAAGGAGTCCAAAATGGTACCTACAGCTCTGGTTTGAGCAAATAGATTGATTTTGGTGCCATTTTTGGAAATGTAGAAGACTATAGAAGAATGAGGTTCAGTAGGTAGAAAGTAAGGGCTCTCAGGCCATCCAAAAATTAGTAACTTGCTTGAGGTCACAGAGCTAGTGTCAGAGCTTGAATTAGAATTGATGCAGTGATTCCATCATATTTGTGAATAAATCATTACAAATTACTGTGGTTTAATTTTGGCAAAGAGGGAAATAAATTCATTATGATTTATAGGCAATTACATTGAGCTGCAATCAAACCTTTGTTCTTTTGGGAAAAAAACCTACGAAAAAATTTTAAAATGAGGAGAGGATTGCTAGAACTGTCCATCAACAGACACTTAATGACCAACGTTTGCAGGTACAACATTGCTAGGCACATATCATTACCAATATTCACAAGGTACGGCTCCTGACTTCAAATAAATAATTCAATTGTTTCAAATTATTGTGTGCCAAGAGATGTTAGTAGTTGTTACACAAAAAAGTGGGCAAGCAACCAGTTAAGCAAAAATAAGCAGATTTCTATATTGGGTAGCTTCATAAAGACTTTACTCAGTTAATATATACTGTGAAAATCTGGAGGTGAGAAATGTGCTTTATAGCACCTTCTAAGCTTATTTGACCAAATAATCTTTGTTAATTCTTCATTTTGTAACATATTTGTGTTTCATAGAACAGCATTTGGGAAAAGTTATCTAGCTGGAAATATAGGAACATGAGGCTTACAAGCATGAAGTTTTCTCTTCAAAAAATCATAAGTTCTGAAATCCTAAATCTATGCTACAGTAAAGCTACCATTCAGATCAATAATAACAACAACAGTAACTAACATTCACTCAGTTGTCATTCTACAAATATGCACTGAGCCTCAAACATGTGCCAGGCACTGTGCTAAGAACTAGGGACACAAGTGAGAGACAAGGTATGTAACCAGGAAACCTAGAATCCATTGAAAAAAATGATGTTAAAACATCCTAGACAAGTGCAGTTAGCAGGGGTGAGTTGGGCATCCACCAGCCCTCCATCTTTCCCCCATTCTGCTTTAGAGCCTGTCTGCTGCTGAGTCACCAGCTCCTCTGAGCAGCAGGTTATGGTGGGTTTGGAGAGAAGGCAAAGGCCATTCCCATAGTGGCTACAGGGGAGCACTGACACCCTGCCAAGTAGCTTGGAGGTGCTTCACAATTTTCTTTCTCTGCCTAACCAAGATATTTCTGAAAGAGAATCTAGCTTTGGGACCATGAACACCTCATCTCCACACCACTGATTAGTGGCTTTCAGGATTTGTACTGATAAATCCAAAGCTGCTACCTTCCATTCTCTAAACATCTAATTTTTCTTTTTTTCAAGATCTGTTTTCTTGGCAACTTTCAAATATGCAAAACAATTTTATTAACTGTAATTACTATGTGTACATTATATCCCTGGCACTTAATTCTTTTATAACTGGAATTTTGACCTTTTGAACTCTGTGATTCATTTCACCCATTTTTCAATACCACTGACAAGCCTCTTCTCTGTATCTATGAATTCGGTATTTGTTTTTGCTGTTATTAAAGTCCATGTAAAAATGAGATCACACACCATTTTTTTTCCCTCTGACTTATTTCACTTACCACAATACCATCAAGCTCCATTCATGTCATCACAAATGGCAGATCTCCTCCTTTTTGTGGTTAAATAGTATTCCACTGTGTATATAGTCATGCATCACTTTAGTAATAGGATATATTCTGAGAAATGTGTTAGATCTCATCACTATGCAAATATCACAGAGTGGAACTACATAACCCTAAATGGTATAGCCTACTACTCACCTAGGCTGGATAAATGTTATTATATTATATATGCAGTCCATGTCAACCAAAACATCATGTAATGACTGTGTATGGATTTACTAAATTTTCTTTATCCTTTCATCCACCGATGGAAACTTAGGTTGTTTCCATGTCTTGCCTGTCATAAATAATGTTGCAGTCAACACAAGGCTGATCATGTTTCTTTGAGTTAGTGTTTTCATTTTCTTAGTATAAATAACCAACAGTGGGATTACTGGATCATCAGGTGGGCCTGTTTTTAATTTTTTGAGGACTGTGATGTGTCCAAGTGAACTTAGTAAGAGAGAATGTGCCGGTGCCTGTTAAAGACCAGGAAACAAGGGCTTAGGCTAGCAGAGTTGGGAGTAGAGCCCAATGAAAACTTGTGATCGTGTTATAACAGCTGGAATATGAGTTGTGAGGTGAATGCCACTGCAGAGCTTTGCTGCACCATCTCTGGGTTCAGCCTTAGGGCCTTGTGAAAATGTCTCATTTTGAAGACGAGAGATAACAAAGAAGTGAAGTCTGACCCCAAGTCACACAGAATTGACTGCAAACATAGGGCATGAACCCAGGATGTGAACCCAGGTCCAAACAAGTTTAGAGCCTTTTCTCTAAACCCAATCTGTGCATCAGATGACTGGCATGGGGCCTACGCTCTGCTCACATATCTCAGTGCTGCTGCAGATGGAAATCAAACATCAAGAGTCACCACCTGAATGAACTATACTCTCCTAGTGAAATTAATTGTCAGTGCTTTTTAAAATGAGAAGCAAACACGAAAACAGTTTCTCCAAAGGTTAATTAATTCAACTCAACCTGACAAATACTTTTTGAGTGTCAGCTTGGCAACAGACATATGTTTAAATGCTATGGGGGTGGGGGAGGGAATAAAGCAGAAAATACTCTGTTGGTGTTCTTAAAGAGTTTTTATCTGTAGGTGAAAACCAGTGATCAGAACTGGGCCTCTTTAATTTTTTTAAATGACTTGAAGAAAATGTGAATGTTGTCCAAAATGAACACTAGCCAGGCTGACATTTCACTGCACTCAAGTGTCAGACAGCGACACAAATGCCCAGTTACCCAGCTCTGTCCCGCCTCACCATGGTAACTGCCGGCCTCCTCTGTCAGATGCTCTGTATGTCCTCTGAGTTTAGCCAGAGAGGACAATGCGCTTGGACAGAGGGTTGAAGTGCCCTCACTTTCTCTATAAACCAGCAATCCAATGTGTCTCTCCAAGTGAATGCTCTTATAAGCAGCACATCTAGAGAAATCTAATTACTCCTACTCTGTGTCAGAAGATGGATGTCTGAAATAGGCACAGACCAAATCCCAAGTATTGCAGCCTGTAGGGAAGACTTGAATGGTGTATTAGTTTCCTGAGGCTGGCAGAACAACAGATTTGGGGGGGGGCTTAAACATTAGACATTAATTTTCTCATATTTCTGGAGGTTGAAAGTGTCAATGAGTTTGGATTCTCCTCAGGCCTCTCTCTTTGGGTCTCAGCTGGCTGCCTTCTAGCTGTCTCCTCACATGGTCCTTCCTCTGAGTGTGCTGCCCTCATGTCTGTCTTCGTGCCCAAATTTCCTCTCCTCATAAGGACACCTGTCAGATTGAACTAGACTCCACTCAATGACCTCATTTAACTTTATTTCTTCCATAAGGGCCCTAAGTCCAAATACAGTCACATTCTGAGGTACTAAGTGTAGGGTCCAACAAGGACATTGGTGGGACACAAATCAGTCCATCAGAGATGGAGCAAGGAGATTTGGGAATCTTCTCTGGGTATCTTCCCAGAGTATCTT